ATATACATATATATTTATATATGTATGTATATACATATGTATATATATATATGCTATGCCACGTGTACGGGTGTCAAGGATAGGTAGTTTGCATCGGTCCTTGCAACGTTTAAGTGCTGCGATCTATTCGTTGCTATTGCACGTGTCTACCCCACAACGCCATAGCTATCACTATATTAGTACTCTTACTAGAAATACTGGCACTGTTACCATAATTACTAATACTCTTCCTATACTTATTATTACTCTTGCTATAAATACTAATACTCATACTATCCCAATACTTTGCTTAGTCGATAGTGAGCGCTTCTTGTTGCCGTGTCAGTCTCTCATTCGTGCACAACATCCTTGCTTAACTAGTCTTCAATCACTACACTCAAACATGCACACTTACACCCACCCACCCACACTAACACACACCTGCCTCTCGTCTGTTCCACCGGACGAGCCTTTTGCAAACCTCGCTCTATACTTTTTAGAAAACATTGAGACCACGTCTGAGTCACTAAGCGTAGCTAAAACTCGGACTATCTTCTCCGTTTAATTCTAAACTAATACTCGGACTACCTTCTCCAATTAATTCTAAACTAATACTCGGACTACCTTCTCCAATTAATTCTAAACTAATACTCGGACTATCTTCTCCAATTAATTCTAAACTAATACTCGGACTACTTTCTCCAATTAATTCTAAACTAATACTCGGACTACTTTCTCCAATTAATTCTAAACTAATACTCGAACTATCTTCTCCAATTAACTCTAAACTAATACTCGGACTATCTTCTCCAATTAATTCTAAACTATTACTCGGACTATCTTCTTCATTAATTCTAAACTAATACTCGGACTATCTCCTCCAATTAATTCTAAACTAATACTCGGACTATCTTCTCCAATTAATTCTAAACTAAGACTCACATAGACAAGGGCCAGGCCTCGTGTGGGGGCACTGCAGTGAGGGATATCTAACAATCCGTCAAAGCTGACTATCGTCCCCAATTCTAAACTAACTATATTCTCGAATTCTAAACTAATTCTCTGACTAAATTCTCCAATTTTAAACTTCTCCAATTCTAAACTAATTCCCTGACTATATTCTTCAATTCTAAGCTAATACCCAGCCTATCTTCTCCAATTCTAAACAAATACTTTGACCATCTTCTCCAATTCTAAACTAATTCTCTGACTATCTTCACCAATTCAAACCTAATACTCTGTCTTCTCCAATCGGATTTTAACCTAATTCTGTGACTATCTTCTGAAATGTAGTTATCTGGCCGTTGATTTGCATCGGAAACCGAAACGCGATGGAGGTCCGTTCTTTGTCATTCGCAGTGGTATCAGCAATCCCCATAAACTCATGCAGACACTTACATACGAGGAAATGTGCGACTTCCTCATGTTCCAGAAGGAACAGGCATATCAGGTACACCCGGTTTATACTATAACTATAACGTATCAGGTACACCTGGTTTATACTTTAATGTATCAGCTACACCTGGTTTATATTTAATGTATCAGGTACACCTAGTTTTAATGTATCAGGTACACCTAGTTTTAATGTATCAGGTACACCTAGTTTTAATGTATCAGGTACACCTAGTTCATACTTTAATGTATCAGGTACACCTAGTTTATACTTTAATGTATCAGGTACACCTAGTTTATACTTAATGTATCAGGTACACCTATTTTATACTTTAAACGTATCAGGTACCCCTAGTTTATCTTAATGTATCAGGTACACCTAGTTTATACTTAATGTATCTGGTACACCTAGTTTATACTCTAATGTATCAGGTACACCTAGTTTACACTTTGAAGTATCAGGTACACCTAGTTTATACTCTAATGTATCAGGTACACCTAGTTTACACTTTAATGTATCAGGTGCACCTAGTTTACACTTTAATGTATCAGTTACACCTAGTTTATACTATAACATATCAGGAAGTCT